TCTCTAAGCCCTCTCATTTCAAATAATTTAAAACCCCCTCTGCATGTTCCTCAGCTCCCATGTTGAGCTAACCGAGTCTGCAGAAAGGAGAGAATATTTGAAAGGACAGTGATTAAAATTGTGGCAGCAGACGGGCAGTGTCCTGGCAGTGAAATGAGCGGAACATTTCAGGAACTGCTTGGAAATGCTGCCACATTTGCCCTCAAACAGCTACAGTGACACATAGGCGCACACACACTTGAGTGGTGGTTTGGAGACAGTGTGGGAGTGCCTATGCCTCCGTTTCCCAAAATAATCACCAGATGAGGGGCAGAGAGGCTGGGCGAGGTTGGTACAGGGAGATATAAATGGATGCTAATTGTATGGCTCCTTCAGATTACACTTAAACACAAATACACATTCTCTGTCCATGTATGTGTGTGGAAAGGATCCTGCTTTGTATGAGAAAGTGTAGAATCAGTCTTTCTGACTCACTGGTTTTGTGGCTTTTAAATCCTACTAAGTTAGTGTGTACATTTCCTCTGTCTCAAACACACATATGCACCACACAGGGATTAAGATGGATAATAATTGTATGGTTCTTAAATAGCACCCAATTCCAATCAAAGAGAACTCCCATGTATTATTTCTATAATCCCTCCAAAAACAGTTTTAAAAAAAGCAACTGTCAACAGTCATTTTCTAACGCTCCCCCATCCGTACGGCAGTCTACGAAAAGCTTCGCGCTGGGGATTTCACTTTGTATGTTTGTCTAATATGGTTTTTCCATTACAGGAACCTACCGAAACAGGTCAAGCCAAGTAACATTCGTAATGAGTTCTGCATTTGTTTCCACTACGGTGTGCCTGCTTCAGAGGTGCATTCTGGGAGCTAAATTTCAGCACCCTTCAGGAAGTAGTACTAAAATCAAGTACCAGGACCATGCGGGGAAGGGGGTGGTTAAATGTCCAAATCTTCACACCTCAAGTATTAGCATGACAAGCACTGTGTGTAGACACACAACTGGCTGTATGTGTGAGAGAGGAGCAGCACCTCACTCCTCTAAACAGAGACCGACAGAGAGAAAATATAGTGGAAAAACAAAGCAGGATGATCTGCGTCAACCCCCAGAGGCTATGCTTGGTGATGGTAAAGGGAAGTACAGGGTATACCATTCGTTAGGTTCCGACAGTGGAAACGCAGCATAAGCAAAATTACATAAGTGTGAACCATTGCTAACTCTGAGAGACGAGGCAGTCCAAGTAACTTCAAAACAGTGCTGATTTATTCAAAGGATCACAGGTAAAATTAACATTACACGCTCAGGTATCTTGCACCTCCATCCTGCTTGCAGGCAGATGTAAGATAAAGGACCCTGAACCCACCAGGCCTATACATTGTATCCCTTCGGTTGGGCTAGCCCCATACTACACAGAAACGTCAACCGAGACGTCTCTCTTACCAGCTTTGCAGCTGGTCATAGCAGTAGTCAAAACATGAAGTAAATCGATGTGCATGTGTGTGTGTCTGTTGATTAAGTGGTGTGTAACTAAAAACATTCTCACACGACCTCTAGTAACATGTCATGACTTAAACATAAAAACATATTATGGCTAAGGCTACAGTTATACACGTCATAATAATAATAATATTAAACACCCTGTCTGCTGACAGTCATCAACTCTTCTCTCTAGTTATCCTTGACCAGATGTACCCTGTAGAAACTCATAAGCAGGCCTAAGCATTTAACAGTCTAACTAGACATCCTATCTCCACTAAACATTTCTAATACATAAAGTATCTATCCAACATCTATCTGACTAAAAATACCTAACAAGTGCTTCTCCTACTCAAATGTCACTTATTGACTTTACAGCATAGTGCAACTTTGTTTCTAATTTCACAAGTCTCATACTGTGAGAGAGAGGAGGAAGAAGAATGAAGAGGGGAAGCAGAGTAGAGGCAACTTTAGATATAAATGTAGATAATTACATGGTTGACTCCCCTCCTTGATGTGAAGAAAGTGCAAGAGAGTAAAGAGGAGAAACAACTAGAGGATATATAGTGCCATGCACACCTCAGACTACTGTATATGTTTTTCAGTACTTGATAAAAAAAAACATTATTTCTAAAATGCCCTCTTTTCAGGAAGTGAGGAAAAATGGTTTTTACCATGACATAGCTTTTACAGTGAAATTTTATGAGTATCTGACAGTGACACCATGAAAGATTTTCTACAATGTTGCAAAAGATGTTCTTACACTAATTGGGTTTAATTACAACCAAAACCAGACGTTCTGTGTTTTTCCATGTTTTTCATAAGAAACCACACAACCTGTGAGAGAATATGAAGTAGTGTGACCACAAAGGAGCAGAACTCAGCAAAACTCTTTGCAGCTCAGTTTGTAGAGCTGCTTCCCCACCTGCTGCTCTTATGGGGTATGGCTATAAAATACATGCTGGGGCTTTCTCACTTCTCATCATGTTACTTCCAAAAAGAAGAAAAGCAGGAAGATTTAACTCATTGTGGAGTGCTTGCTCTTTGATGTATAACACATCTTACCACAAGTAACTTGAGTAGCCTATTTCCATCTTATGGTACATTTTATTTCTACCCCAAAAGGAGGTAAATATTCTACTTTTAATTCACTACATTTATTTTACATCTGGCTAGTAGTAACACTCTAAATTAGGATTTTATATTATAACACATTATCCATTATAAAATATGATAAAATATTCCACATTGTTAGAGAATAAATAACCACTGGTGATGCAACTTTTGGGCTTTTACTTGAGTTAGGTTTTCAAAACAGGACTTAGGGCCTACTTGTAATGCTGTATAAAGAAACGGTGGTATTACTATTTTTACTTAAGTACCAGATCTGAATATTTCTTCCAATAGTGCAAGTACTGTAGACTGATAGGGCTACAAATTCCTTGAGCCCTGTCCATGTAGAAGCCGTCTGCCCCTCTACAATGCACATTACGGGAATCAGCTGAAACAAAAAAAAAGCCCCAGCCCAGTCCTAGCTTCGCAACAGTGACGTCAACACGCATTGGCGTGACTGACGCGCGGTCATTGGGTGAGCGTGAAGCTAAGTGTTTTATACAGTAAAAAAGATAACACGTCGACAACAACAACAGCAACAGCTGCACCCGTATGAGGCTCACTAAAGACACAGTCTTACTTTCCGGTTTCACACTATAACGATTGGTAAGGGGACCTATTCATAATCTTTGTTTTTTTACTAACGTTATAAAGCCGCGCAGCAGCTTCCGCCCTGTAGGAAGTTTCTTTTGTCCTTCTCAGTCAATAACAACAAAACAAGCGAGTCCGTGTGTTGACCCGAGACGAATGTGATTTGGATGGTTTAATAACAGTGTAACAACAACCCGTTAATATCAAATATGGGTCTGTGTTGTCAAAACAAGTCGCTTATCTCACAGGTTATTACAGTGGGTGAATACCTTTGGACTATCAGGGACAGTAAAGCTAAACAACATAGCCTGCTGGGTGTGTTGGATAGGGTCAGCATACAATGGATGATGCCATTTTATGGGTCATTAATATTTAGCTAAAATGTCGTTTTTGTATAAAATGGTAGCACGGCTGCCATGTCGCCACTTTTTTTATTTATTTATTTATTTTTGCGTCTTCCTATTTATAAGAGAGCAGCAGTCTAAGGGTCATCATTTGTATGGACGACATTGTGTCTGTTTTTCTAATTCTCACAGACAAGTCCAGTGCAGGCCACACACATACTAACCAGCTGTGTTAATAACCTTGGAACTCATGTCCGCACCCTTTCCTAATATTTCTTGACTCTAAAGCTTTAATAGGACGCGGTATGCGCTGCGCTCCTCGCGGGGGTTGGGCGCAGCACAGGGGAGGAAGGGTGCACACATGCAAATTGCGCACATGTTGGGTGCCAGTTGCAAAAAGCTTTACAGGAGGTGGTTGGTAGATATTAACTAGGTTTTCGACCCGTGGACCTGGACGCACGATGTATCTAGCTACATGTCAGGGAAAAGTTCTGGCTTTAGTTGTATCGATGAGGAGGAGACGAGCTGCAGCAAAGAAGAAGAGGATGTGGGTCCTCAAAATCAGCTTGTCCTCTGTTTTCTTTGTGCTCTGTCAGGTTCTCTGCAGCTGGACACATCAAGGTGTCATCACAGAGTGCTGTGCCCAAGTTGAACTTCTTTTAAATTCAGGGCAGTGCACAGAGACAGCAAGGGGGTTGTGCCACACAACACAGAAATGAATGAGTTCAACAGTGGAGCGCCCACCTAAAAAGGGCTTTACAGGCCTTTTCTTAGCTGTGGCTCATCTCCTCCTCCTCCCCATTACAACTAAAACCAGAGCTTATAGCTGACACGTAGATACATAGTGCATCCACGTCCGCTGCTCAAAAAACAGTCATAAGAAAAAGTAATGGCACTGTTTGCAATTTCCTGGTTTTAAGCATAAAATAAATTTGATCTGATCTTCACCTTCTTCTCCTTCTTCTTTTGGCTGTTTCCGTTAGGGGTCGCCACAGCAAATCATCTGTTTCCACCTAACTCTATCCTCAGCATCCTCTACTCTCACCCCAATTAACTTCATGCCCTCTTTTAGCACATCCATATATCTCCTCTTTGGCCTTCCTCTTGACCTCTATCCTGGCAGCTCCATCTCCAACATCCTTCTACCAATATAACCACTACCCCTCCTCTGCACATGTCCAAACCATCTCAATCTGGCCTCTCTGACCCTGTCCCAAAACAGCCGACCTGAGCTGTCCCTCTGATGTGCTCATTCCTAATCCTGTCCATCCTGGTCACTCCTAAACAGAACCTCAACATCCTCATCTCTGCTACCTCCATCTCTGCATCTTGTCTTTTCCTCACTGCTACAGTCTCTAACCCATACACCATAGCTGGTCTCACTATTGTTTTGTACACCTTTCCTTTGATTCTTGCTGCCACTCTTCTGTCACACAACACTTCACCAAAGCTACAAATATCAACAAACACAATATTTCTAAGCTGATAAAACTCAAAGTCATGATCTTTCATGTCTTTGTTGAACACACCCATTAAACACACAGAGCATGCATTTCATGACCAATCTGTTGTGGCTGCAGATCAGGGCACTCCCAGCACCTCATCCGCCAGCACTGGGACCATCAACAGCTCCATCTCTGCAGGTGCTGGAGTGCACTCCTGGCGGCGAGGCGCACCTGCTTCAAGCTAGTGGAGCATTACTTAAGGGGAGCGTGGGTGTGATCTCGTCGCCAGATGATCTCTTGTCATTCTGCCGGTAACGGTGTATGTTGGTATTGTGCCTAAGTTACTTTGTGACTTAACTGCTATTCTGATTTTGATTGCTTCCAGTTGCTACAAATTATTAGTCTGTGGGAGTGGAATACCTGATTTACCAGTGACTTTGTGGGGTTTTGCCATTCTGACTTTGATTGCTACTTTGCGTTATGAACTGTTTGCCAGTGTTTTGAGATAACCATTTTTTTTTTTCCTGTAACCTGGTTGGCTCCGGCCATTCTGATTTTGTGTGGCATTCTGTGCGAGGCCCGTGAACTGTTTTCTCCATCCGAGAGAAGTAGGTGCTCCTCACGTCTTCCTTCAACATCCTCTGTCATCACCTGTCAGCCGGACCCGCCACCTCCACCACCCAGACTCCTCTCACCGGGCCAGCGATCTCCTACGCCAGCTCCTGCCTCCTTGGACTGCTTTCCCAGCCAGCAGCGCTCTCCGGCCTAAAGCCAGCACCCACCTATATTCAGGTCCTCTGTTTTAATACTCGATACAGACTCTATCTCCGTATATCTGTTATCCTCTCTCACACGCTCATCCTCTGTTTCAACATAGTGCGCTGCACCTCTCCTTCAACCCCAGGTTGCTCCTGTAGTGGTCCAGTCAATACAGCGTTCCCAGCTGCCCGAGATCCACTGCAATATCTTCGTATCCGGTCCTTGTTGATTCCTCATTTCAATATCCATTAAATTTCATATTTTTCTAAGCCTGAGTGCGAGTTCTGCATTTCTGAGTCCCCTCTGGTTGTTGTGATACGGCTAGCCATAACAAATCTATGCAGAAAACCAGGAAATTACAAACAGTGCCATTACTTTTTCTTGTGACTGTATCTGCTAACCACCTTTTAGAAAGCTTTTTTGGTCGCCTAGCAACTGGTGCCCATCATGTGCGTGATTTGCGCGTATACACCCTCCTACTGCGCTGCGCCCAATCCCTGCAGCGAGCGCAGCGTATTCCCCATCCTATCTGAAAACCTTTTAATTCTCCAGATCCCCCAATGGCTGCAAACTTCACGATTTCAGACAGTGAATCAGAGTCTTCGGAGGAGGTAGAGGAAGGAAAACACAGCCAATCATCAACTTCGCAAGAACAACAGGTTCCTCCATGCCACAGCCTTACCTTACCTGAGCTCAGAATGGCAGGTAAGAAACCAAAAAGGATTGTGATAGTTAGGGTTACAGAAATGGGACAGTTTAAAACTAGCAAATGACTGTATAGAAAACTTGGCAGTTGTGCTACTGAAAATGCTACAGTATAGTTTTATTTGAAAAAGAAAGTAATATCTGCTGTGCAACAGCTGTTCCAGTGTGAATCCTAGTTTTACACAACACACTGAAAAATATTTTTTTGTGAAAGCATCAAACCAAAGCAGCACTCATTCCGCACTTTGTCCAATTTGTTTTCCTATTTTATCTTTTTTTTTTGTCCTTCTGGGCTTTGTCTCTTCGCTCTCATTTTGCAGAAAATTTGAATCTGGTCTTTCTGTGTCATACTTTGGGACATTAAATGAGACAGCTTGTTAGTGACAATGTAATTTAACCTATTTTGCATTTAGAATAGCTCTGTTAAAAGCAGTACTGAAGGAGGTTACTTGTATTTTTGCCACAGGTTTTTTTAAAACACATACTGTAGTTCCAGTGCTAAATAGCAATTAAAATCCCCCTATTATCACCTTGTCTTTATTGCTCTGTTTCCATGTGCACTGATCTAATCCTGCTTTTATGAAGCATTACAAAGCCCTCTCACCTTTTTCTGTGCCATAGCAACCAGTCGAAACAGGGTGAGCTCGGAGTCCAATGCTTCCACTGTCCAGGATGCCAAGTCAGATGAGGAGGCTGGTACACCCACAGACGGAGCTCCATTCCGGGGACGGTCCAAGTCAGCTCCCCCTGCTCTGTGGGCAGCAAAGAAATATGGCCGGCAGCTCCGAAGGATGAGCGATGAGTTTGACAGTCTGCTGGACAAAGGGGTAAGAATGAAGGGTCGGAGAATGGAAGAAGAGAATAGTTGCACTAAACAACTGAATCTGAATTGACTGACAAAATTCTTAGTCAGGTACAGGCCTGTAGCTAATGTTCGTTCATTTTGTTTCTTGCAGGAGATGAAGAGGGTGAGGAGTGCCGGGGCGGCCAGCCAGATGCACCACTCTAAAAGCTGGTGGAGCTACCTCTTTAGTCATCAGGAGACAGAGGGAGAGAACACCCACCATGAAAACGCGGCGCTGGCTCAGGAGGTAGAGCGGGTCGTTTCCTAACCGGAGGATTAGCGGTTTGATTCCCGGCTTGTCCAATCAACATGTTGAGGTGTCCTTGAGTAAGACACTAAACCTGAGGGATGGAGAGAGCATCTGGGAATGAGTAGTCAGCAGTGGGAAGCCATGAGAATTGTGGTGAAAACAAGGAGACCTGTGCTGAGTAGTGACAGAAGAAGAGAAAGATCCAAACACAAAGACATGGCTAAGTGGGACAAACAGTAAACAGAACAGAGTTCCAAGATCCTTGACATTATTTACATGTCAGTGGTAACTACATTTCTATACATTTGTGTATTTGTGTTGGTGGTGATGTAAACAACATTGTCAGGCAGCCAACTGTGAAATGGTAAAAGTGAAACAAGTGATGAGGAGATGTTGGCTACCTGAACCCTGTTAAAAGACAGATAACGGATCAGCCAAGAAATGAGAGATGATCTCACAAAGAAAGAATAATAAGGGGGTTTGAGAGGTGAACGCTCAGTTAACAGATCTCTCACATCAACACTATGCAATATATTGTAGATGGAGAGATAAATGTGCTGAAATCAAAAGCCCTGACTATTTGAGGCCACCTTGAATACTGTTAAGAATTTCCTCATTTTCTTCAGGAAATTACTAATGTTACTAATGCTTGGTTTGCTGTTTGTGCTTAACAAACTCATGGAGATCACAAATTTTGTGCCATAATAAGGTTCAGGCAACAGAGGAGAATATGAAAAATGAAGGATTTTTAAAAAAATTCTTTTTAGGCCTTTCTCCAGCTTCCTGTTCTACTTACTACCTGCAAGCCAGAACCACTAAACCACTGTACTCGACTATCATTAACTGCTTTATATCTGATATTTATAAACAGTAGAACAATCTTGTACAAGGACAATCTCTGATGATGCAGAAACTATCTTTTGTAAAACTTCAGGGTTAAATTTTCTCTAAAGATAATGGCATTAAACATAGATATAGAAAAAGCACAAACCAATATGAATCTATCATTTTAAAACCATGGATGAGCAAAAAAATGTTGGAATTTTGTGTGTAAATATTTTAATATTTTATCCAATGGCAGGGGTTAGGGGAATTAAACAACGTAGCAGAGCCAGAATTTGTTTTACAAGGTTATCATGCTATTTAATAAGTCTGGCTAATCTAGCAACAGGCAGCGTGCAATCCATGGATTTTGTGATAAATTTATGTGTGTGCTTAAAGATGAGGGTGGCGTTGGAGTAACTGGTGTATAAGGAGCGGACACACGTGCCTCTGGCCCTTTTTACTCAGTACCCAGTACCCAGCAGATTTAAGATCAAGATCATCAAAGATCAAAGATTTTTTATTGTCAATTCACTATATATGCAGGACATACAGAAAATCAAAATACCGTTTCTCTGTCACCTAGTATTGAATGCCCATACATTTAAGAAACTAAAATAGAATAAAAGTAGAGTAAAAAGAGAATAAAATAGAATAAGAAAACTAAATTAAAGTAATTAGGATAAAACTAAACAGTACAACTTAATAGGCTATGCCTCAAAACCATGTCCAATCATTGACAGTACTACAAATAATAAGAATAAGAAGATTGTCAGATGGTTAGCGTCACCAGGGGCGTTGGTGATAAGATGCATAATAGTTATGAGATGCGCATGAACAGCAGCAGATATGACGGTAAAAAAAAAAGCTGTCAGCAGCAGATTTACATATAATATAACAGAAAGGGGGAGTGTACTGAGTTTGTGCAAACAGCAGAGGTAGTCTTTTTGTGTTCTGTGGTGGGTCACAGTCCAGGGGCAAGGGGGAGAGGTAATGGACAGCGTTCAGCATCCTCACAGCCTGGTGGATGAAGCTGTATGTAAGTCTGGTGGAGTGGGCATGAAGACTCCGATACCTTCTCTCTTTAGTTCACAGTTAAACACAGGTATAAACTACCTAAGGGGATTTATACTTGATTTTTCCAAACTACAGAGCTTGTTCGGGAATGTCTGTTTCCAGTCCTGTTGAATTTATATATGCTCTTGTTTAAATGTTTGTTTTTTGCTTTCATCTGCATTGGGGTGTGAATATAGTGGGATCATAATCTATTAAACCTTAGGTTTTAGGAGTTCTGATCAAATGCTAGACTTGCTTTTTATGTGTTACAGTATATTCAGGCTTTTGAGGATTATTTGGCACATACTGCACACAATATGACCTTCATGGAAGTTATTATTCATTATAGTAATCATAAACTAAGATCATAACTCTACACACTTTGGAAAATATGATTAGGCTATGTGTGACTTTTTTTTATTCAATTTGTGATTATTGAAAATGGGGATAGGTTTGTTCTGCTCGTGTCCATTTTTCTTCCTCTCTACATGTAGGGTTGATTTGTGAAGTGCTCGGGCGTGCAGGCTAAAGGACGGCATTTGTGTAGCGAACACTTTGCACCGGCTTTTTAAAGCTTTTCTGTAACTTAGTTAATGGTGAATTTTAATCAAAGAATCCCAGACAATCTAAATGACACAACATTTTTGTAAGATTCATCCAAGTTCACCGTTGTTTGGCAACATGTGTACTCCCCTGACTGCGTAACACGAACCAACTGAGACATTTTGGTCACCCTTTAAAATGAAAGTGCTTGTGGTATAAAGCTCATCGATATCAACATGAAAATCAGGGATGAATATTCAAGTAACCGTGCTGCCGTAACAAATATTGTTTTACATTTTAACATGTCATTTTTAGTACATCTACTCATACACTGATACAAATATTACAGTTGTAGCAGCCGCCATGTATGCGGCGTTGTGAACCTGAGGTTAGCTAATGCTCTCTTGAAAATAAAGCCCGGCTGGATTTAATAGAATATTGTTATGAAATGCCTTGAACATGCTGTAACCTGTGTGAGACCACATAGCCAGCCTCGTCTGTATGCCGCCTTAAACTTTATAGCTTGCTATCACATATTATGTGCAAGGGAAAAAAAAGCACAATAATAACGAGGTGTTTTCTGTGACAACTGCAAGAAAAAATGTTACCAATCCTAAGCCAGGCTTTAAACGCCATTTTAGCAGCCATGTGTCCCTTCTTGCTTTTGTCTTTTAAACATTTGGGAAGGTGAACACACCCCAGAGGAAAAACCTGCCTGGGCACCTGGAATTTGCAATCATCCTTGGAATTACTTGAATCTAGAGATGTGTGGATAAAACGGATTTTTAATATTTCTTTATTCCTTTTTCTTTTTTTAATTCTGTTTCATTTTTTTTTTTTAATAACTTTTGTAAATGTATTTTCTCTACAGCTGTGAAACTTCTGGTATATGGTGTCCTGAATAAATCATTTAAGGAGTGGTTTTAAAGTGAGTCTCTTGTGTAATTCCTTATCAGTTAATTGGCAGGTATTTGTATTATTGTTTATATTTTCTAGATCCTGCTTCTTCTTTTGTCATAAATGAAAATTGATCAAATATACTGAAGACACTCCCATCATCATATAGAAATGGCTGTTTTTGGAAGGAAGTGTCTGGAGAGAGGGAGGTCTGGGCATCTTTGCTTAGACTGCTGCCCCCGCGACCCGGCCCCGGATAAGCGGAAGAAAATGGATGGATGTTTTTGACATTTAATACATAGAGTAAAGTAATTAAATACAATTAAATATTAAATAATCATCAGGTTATAGTTGATAAAGAAAATATTCCTTAGTTGGAGTTGTATCTAAAATTATCTGCACAAAAGACAGTTTGAAAAACTTCAATTTATATTTATTGCAAATTTGAGGCAATTCATAGACAATTCAAATGTCTAAATATTAATGCACAATAGTACAATGAAAGGAGATTAACAAGGACACAAAATATGATAAGGTACAGAGCATATAACAACATATGGGGCACAGTAAACAGTGCAACTTACTGGCCTAGGTTCGAACTGTTAGCTGAACTCTCAGATGTCTCTGTACATCCATTTGGATACATTTTCAATACTTATCCCACAATATCCGAAAAGCTTAATTACCTGAGCCCAGAAGAGCTGACTTAACTGGATCTGCAAGTGTTTCCCACTTTGATTTCCTACCACTGCATTACCGCCAGTCAGAGTAGCATTAGTAAAATGTAAGACCCAATCTGTCAAGCCACTTCTGATGGATCCCAGCAATACCTGTGTCCAGAGTCCAAAGCTGACAGTCTCTCCATGTCTGCATCAGTCAGCATAAAGTCAAAAATCCTGGAGTTTGCCTTTATTCTCTCTGGACTTGATGACTTGGGGAGCACAGGGACACCCTGCTGTACTGCCCAGCGCAACAGGACCTGGAGGGGAACAAAAGAAATAAGTCTTTGTGCTAAATATGTTATTCATTGAACAACGAGTAGAAGTTGGTCCAAAAAGACATTAATCCACATGCTTTGCATGTGTGTACCTGTGCAGGTGTGCGTTCACAGTTTTTTGCCACCTCCATTACTACAGGGTCAGTTAACAGGCCTCCTCTCCCTAAAGAGGTGTAGGCTTGGAAACACACTCCATACTCCTTACACACTGTTCTCAGCTCACTCTGGCACAGCTCTGGGTGAAACTCTACCTGGAGAAGAAAAAGTGCACACCTTCAGCACTGGCTTTTTCAACCACCAGGGGCGCAAAACATATTTTTTGCATTTGTGTACATTCCTCCTTTCATTCTCCCATTTTATACCTGTAGCACCGCAGGAGGGACTTTGCAGCTTTGCATTAGCTGTTTCATGTGTGCTGGTGTGTAGTTAGACACACCTATAGCCTTCAGCTTTCCCTGGGAATGCAGCTCCTCCAGTGCAGCCCAACTCTGAGCTCGGTTACCTAGAATCAGATACAAAACAGGGCCTCATCGCTGTTACTAAAGTACAACTACATTGAAAGAGAGGAACATAAGAAGGCACCTGGCCAAAGCAAAGTTACTTGAAATGCTTTAGAATCCAGTCCATACTCCATACATACACATTTATTCTTGCACTGATATTCTGCTAGATGAAGGAAAACACATTTAATTTGAACTTCACCTGGGTTATGTTGGTCATTCACTACCAGGCCCTGTGTACCAGGCCAGTGGATTAGGTACAGGTCAATGTAACTCAAATCCAGCTGAGACAGGCTTTGGAGTGCTCCTTCCATGGCCTTTTCACCCTGATCCTTAGGGGTGAGCTTGCTGCATGCAGAGGGCGAGAAAAGAAAACTGTTGAAGGAAACATCTGTGCACTGTGTCACTTAAAAGTTAAACATGAGCTTCCGAGCCTCCACATCAGAAACAAAAGATCATGGGCATGACACTCAAGCATACTTAGTACAACAGTTAAAAGAAACATTTTTAGTGAATTACAGTACGATACTATGATAAAAAAAATATATACCTGGTTTCACCTCACAGAACAAATATTCCGTCATTTTGTCCATCTCCCAGCTGTATTCAATATAATATAATATAATACCACCAAAGTTACCCATTTACTGACATGCTATGCTCTTTTGAAGGCCATTTGATTCCATATACATCACCTGGTTATAAATACATCTTCTCTGGACAAGCAATATTTGGGCAGGAGTTCCTTCAGGGCTCGTCCCAAGTCGGCTTCATTCCCGTAGATGGCTGCACTGTCAAAGGCCCGGTAACCAGCAGCCAAGGCAGCATCCACAGCCTGGTAGACATTTTCAGTACCCTGTAACTTGAAGGTCCCCAAACCCAGAAGGGGCATATGAACACCCGTATTTAGGACGACAGAAGCAGTAGCGGCAGAAGAGGAGGCCATTTTGTTTCAAAGGCACTTATTTTCTTTGTTCCCTGTTTAGATGATTTGGTCTACCTAACACTGGTATAGAGAAAGAGAGAGAGTTGCATGTTAAATAAATGGGAGCAGTAAATATTTAATTGGTTGTATTGGTACTGGTATGGTACTAGGCAGCCTACACTGATTTCTACAGGATTTTCATTACACCTCCTCGGTTTCATTACAGTGATAGCAAATGGCTACTAACCCTATGCTAACCCTAATGCTACAATGCTGCAGTGATAACGCTGAAACGTCGAGAGCCATAAGGTATTAAGCTGTTGGAACTTCAGCTAAGAGTACAGTGTAACAGTGCATGATGCACTTTTGGAATGATGGAACATCATAGTTAGGCATTGCTGTTACAATTCACAATGGTGGAACATCACAATGAAGTACAAATGTTACAATAATGGCGTTTAAGAACATTACAACATCACAATGTGGCTTTAAGTACAAACACTGCAGTATCAGAAACAAACATCATAAAGTGTTACAGTGAATCTACAATGACAGTTTTGAAACACTGGGACATCCATAATGGTTCTATATCCAACATATTAGTGCAATATAATAGTGTTAGAATGCCGTAATGTCACATAGTATTACCATTGCTACAGTGCTCTTCAGAAAATTTACACACAATTTGTTGCTGGATTGTTGTGTACTGTTTTAGCTAGGTAGGTAGGTAGGTAGGAAGATAAATATTTATCTCACCTGTCGTCTATTTAAGCACATAAAGAAAAATATTTTTGTGAAAGTGAAAAGTTAAAGCTAACTTTATCGTTTGTACAAATATGAACACTTACAGCTACTGACCTTCACTACTACTGGTCAGCTGACAGTCACGTGAGTTTGGGTTTTCGCTGTCACCCATAATTTTTTTTTATTTTTATTTTTTATGTTTTTATTAAACATAGCGGAGGAAGATAAATGTTTTAATTAAACAACAAGGCAAATCAATACAAGATTTTTCAGCACAAATTGTCGGACGTCACCCATTGATACCTGCTCTGGTGCCGCAGATTGTTCTTCTTCTATTGTTTAATGGCGGTTGGCAAACAGCTTTAGGTGCACTACCGCCACCTTCCAGACTGGAGTGTGGATCAGAACGGCCCCCTACCTAAAGTTCTGGCTAATCAAAATACCCCAAGCGACCGAAAGGCGGGAATTCGCCCTGTCCACCCAATCTCGAGGCGACTCAAGTGTTTGACTGACAGAGTTAAGTTAACCATTGACGTCCTGCTGGAGGGTCAAGTTATCCTGCTG